TTTCATCGGGTGGTTTTGATGACGTCGATACGCTTTTTATTACTCTCTTTAATGGCGCGGAAGTGCTCTCGGCTGTGCTCGGAAGTGGCTTTGGAAATTATTTCTCGTATACCGAGGAAAAATTTTCATTGGCTCTTTCTATACTGACTGTAGGGGGATGCTTCCCTTTTCTCTCTCTCTCTATTTCCCTTTTACTCCCTTTTTTCCCCATTGAATATTTAAGGGTGCTCTTTAGCCGCTGATGGAGGTGCCTTTGGCGATGCTGATTCCGACATCGAATGCGAATAGTGAATCTCTCAAATTGATTGGCCATTATTATTTCGTATTTTTAACACTACTCGTACAAAAATTTAAATAGTAATCGTAGGTTAATTACGTCAAGCTTCGATAAACTAAGCTGTTTGAATCTGATTACACAAAAATCTATATCCGTGGGGTAAAATCGCCTTTTTTTCCGTTCATTGAGCCTATTTCAAAATGTAATGGACAAACAAATTATTGAAGATTATTTTTTTTAATTGAAAAATTAAAGCTTGTACAACTTATTTGACTGATGGGTTTTAAGGGTACAATGAATCATAATCCTACCTCAAAAACTCTCTTTAATGGTCTTCATTTGAAGGGTGCGGAAGTTAATATTTCCATCTCAATAGGAAGTCGACGACCGCGTTCGCTCGATCTCAATTACAGCAGAATATGATTACTCCATTCCCGCGAGCAATAACAGTGTTTTTCATCTCCTGCGAGTCATTTCGTGCTTCGCATTTCAATTATTATATCGATTTGAGGTCCGTTGTCGAGTACTTAATAAGCAAAGCAACAAACAGCAGCTGCACTCATACAATCGAGTTTAATCACCCACACTCGCACACACTGCATAATCTACAGATCGAGTCCTCAGGACCAAAGCAAGTGTGTGTGTATATGTACGCAGCATGTGGCAATCAGCAGCTGTACATGTAGGCGGTCACAACGTCGACACACTCACGCTTCTCGGCTTTAGCAAACTTGCCCCCAATACGCTATTACATAGTCCAACAATCGAACATTGCGGTTTGGTATATATATACGTGTATGGGCATGTAATCATACTTTGTATATAGCTCGATGTTTGGGGTCGAAAATAAGTGTCGATTTTGCGGCTTTTACTGCCTATAAGAGCAATACCGCCAATGAGTGAGGTTTTGAGAAAAAACGAGTATAATCAACGCGGTGAAGTCGAGGAAAACGATGAAAGAGGGATGTGTATTTTGGATGCGCTCGAATCGGTTGTTTCTTAACTTCCCCGTCGGGGGCTAATATTCGGCCCGGCTGAAACGAGATTACCAATTAACCCGGGCGCGAATTTAATTTTCCAACTTTTTTTCCGGAAAACCGCGCGTTACTGTCAACTCGACAATTTAAAACCCCTTGCCCGCTTCTATCCCTGAAATCCCGGGGAAAAAAGTCCGACAGGGATATCCGGGTGTCCGGCAACTGCGTTTTTTTTCCCTTCCCCGGACTTCTTTGACTCTCCGCGAGTCCTCCTAATGGCTTTCCTTTGTCCGGACCTCCTTTTTCTTGATTTGCACTCGAGTGTCCTTTCTCTTCTTCCCCTTCCTTGTGCTCGTGGTCAATTTCCCGGCGTTTTGCTTTGACGGGGGACTCTCGGCTGCTCACAATTAAAAGCACCCGCTCGTGCGAAAAAAAAATTATGCAGTGCATCGGGAGGGGAATAACCCTTTCAAAACAACTACAAAAGCACAAAAAAGGAACTCTCTCATAAAGAATTTAGAGCTCAGCTCTGAGGTGAAAAAAAAAAAAAACACATCTTCCCGCTCTGCTCGCTAAACATTCACAGGACGAGTTTCTTGTTCACAGAGACCCGGGGAGCTTTTATCCTGGACGCTAATTCCTCGATGCTCCGTTGAGCAAGAATTTTTACTTTCCTCCGAGCTGCGTAATGAAAACGCGGCGTGGTGAACGTACAACGATCCTCACCTTTTTTTTTCATCAAAGCATTTATTTTTTTTTTCTTACCAACTAGCTTCGCAGCTCCAAGCTAAATTAATTATTAATCCGCAGCCTCTTTTGCAAAGGAGAAGGACAAAGAGTGGCTTCCTTACGCTGTGCACCAAAGGCTCTTAATTGGCCTGTACCCCATACGTATATCGCCTGCCATCGATATTCCAACTTTTCTTTTCGTGATTACACGAGCTTCTTACTTTTTGTTTTTTACCCCCAGCCTCGAGCGCTAACGAGCATAACACGTGGCCACGACTCGAGGCCAATTCACTCTCAACTTTTTTTTCAGCTCTCATCAGGCTTCCAATCTTTCAGAAACTCCCTGTTCCCTTTCTTTCTTAATTCTTTTCTTTTTTCGAATCAATTCAATTGCGATTTTAAATTTTTTCTTCGCGCAGCTATGGAAATTTGCTTTTTCCCCCTCGGTTCGATATATTTCCGGCTTCCCTTTTGAAGGCCCTTTACCTGCTCGTTACTTTTTTTTTTTTTTTCCTTTCCTCTCATCGCGTAGCTTTGCAGCGAGAAAACACGCCCTGTGATTTTCTTTATTCACCCTTTCCCTCGACTCCTCCGGGCTTCCCTTTGCTTTTCTCCTTTTCCCGGTTTTCCGGGCGCAACGAGAGAATTCAATTTACGCCTCAACACTACATCATTTCATCGTAATGGCCTCCTATGAATACAAAACTTCTCTCTCTCAGCCACTCCTGTCCGGCACTTTTCTTCGTCCGAAACTCCTTTGCAATGCTTCTTGTTTCGATTTCTTTGTCACGAGGCAGTTTTGCCACTCAATGGGACACGGGACTCGTTTATTTACAAATACTGAACGGCCCATTTGTTTCAAATTGTACTCGAGTCAGTTGCAAAACGAAAATAAATTGATTGAGCTGTTGTGATTCAAACAGGTCAACTCGTTATAATACGATTTTTTTTTTTTTTAATTTCATTTTATAAAAATATCCTGATACAAAGTTACTGAAATATAATCGATGATGGAAGGGGTTCATTCGTCATTTCGAGAACACACTATATTCAATAGCAACGTTATCTACAACATTTATCGAGTTGTGGAATGTATGATATTTTTGATAGGTTTTCCAATCCATTTTACATCCTGTAAATCGACATTCCAATCTTCACAGGTGACATATCGCTTCAGCAGTAACCCCGACCATTGCAATTGATTTCCCAATTGTGAGTCACGGCTGGCGATCGGAGCGATCCCACATTTAACCCGATGCATTAGCAGATACACAACAACAACGTAAGATTGAACAACCATAGTAAATCTCGCTCTCGCGAACCAAATTGGCCCGCGTTTGTTTATGAATCCATTTATGCACGTTGTTATCCCTCCGCGGCAATTCCGATGCCATCCGCGTCTATAATTGTTGGGCGCACACACACATTGGCAGCGCTAAACCATCGCATTGTCGTTGCATCGTGTCGCTCGTCGTACTTATGCCGTGTCACGACGTCGAGTTTGAATTTATGCTCTTCTAATATTGAACTGAGGCAGTAAACCACAATTATTGCGCGGACACGAGTTGGATGGTTTGGCTAACGTGACTTTTTGTACATATCATTTGAAAGGAACGCCTATCTGTGAGTGACTAACAAATTGTTTTTTCAAGCACGCGTGACTGTTATCGTTGGAACTCTAGTGTAATGCATATGCATTAAACTGCTTGCAGTGCAGCATTGAGCTTCAAACAGAGCGAACATGTTGTTCCGTAAGTCTCAATTTACAGAAATAATTGATTTTCTCACCCAAACATATCACAAAAGTAAAATCTTTCATTCTCATTAGGTTCGTGTGATATTGTCTTCGGTGTAGTTTTGTCTCTGTTTTGTGGGCAAGTTTCAGTGGAATCGACTGAAAATGCAACAATCCTTTCGACAATTATCAGCAGCTCGAATAAATTTGCTGCCGATATTTATAAGGTAAGTAAGCACAATTAACAATTGATCAAGAGGTCGAGGACAGTCGATTATATTTCAATTCGAAGCTTGTTATGGTAAAAAGGATAAAGGAACAGTTTTAAGATGATTCATTTGTGTTTATGGATTTATTAAAAACATTGATGATTCATTACCAGGTAATGGCGGAAGAAAACGAAAATGGAAATCTAATATTATCTCCTTCGAGTGCTCATATAGTTCTAACAATGTTAGCTTACGGCGCTATTGGTCACACTGCTGAGCAAATTAATCGTGCGCTTCATTTGTCTGCGAACAAAGACAACATTTTACTGGGCTATTACCTTTTGCAGAGACAATTTGAAGTAATTTTAATGATAGACATGGAATAAACTAGGTACTTGAATAAAAGTAACAATTTTTGTTGTAGAACATCAAAGGTGTGCGTTTGCATGTAGCAAACAGGGTATACGTAAGTGACAGGAAGATAATAAATTCCAACTACACGAAGATGATCGATAGAGGTTTTCGTTCTGAAATTGGCGAGCTTGGCAAGGATACTTCAAAAGCCGTTCAAAAAGTAAACGATTGGGTCCGCAAAGAAACAAACAATGCGATTGATGAAATTTTGAAAGAAGGTAAGTATCTACGACACATGCGTCTTATCTCGTATTTTAACTAAGTATTATGTTTCGTAGGTAACATCGACGTCAAAGATTTGATTGTTGTTTTAAACGCGGTGTACTTCACAGCTGGATGGAAACTCGGTTTTCCTAAAGAAAATACACGCCACGAGCAGTTTTTCACTTCCAATGACAATTACATGAGCGTACCCATGATGAGTGTTGAGGGCCATTTTGTTTACGGGACCAGTGATCGGTTGGACGCCAAATACATAGAGATTCCGTACTGTGTAAGGATATACATGCATAGGACATAAATGTATAATTTTTACAATCGTATATTTCTCTTTGATGTTACAGAACGAAGCTTTGAAAATGGTCGTAATCGTCCCCAACAAAATCAGTGGCTTGTCCCGGCTTGGACTGCTGTTGGAGAGTGACGATTTTCACGATGAATTCAGTAAATTCGGAAAACACAAGGTTGAGCTGAATCTTCCAAAATTCAGGATCGAAAGTCAAAATGATCTCCAATCGGCCCTTCAATCGGTACGAACAAGCAATTAAAAACGAAAAAAACTGCTTATCTCTTGGCAATGACCCAGTTTCAAAATCATCACAGTTAGGCATGACAGATGCGTTCAGCAGCACCGCGGATTTCAGTGGCATGTCAAACGAGCGAGTTTCCGTCAGCCGGATCGTCCAACGCGCCATTATCGAAGTAGACGAAACCGGCACGAAAGCTGCGGCTGCCACGAGTGAGTTCATTTCGGCTCTTATACTATATGTTTGACCAGCTCGTTTCGTTTGGGTTTAATCGTATAAGTAACGACAGTCATGATGTTCGGTGTCGGTTAATGTCATTTTTGCTCTTTTGCAGTGTACGCCAGGTTTTCCAGGAGTACTTCAATTGTGTTGAACGTCGACAGGCCATTTTACTTTTCGATAAAATATGGAGATTTGACGCTTTTTCAAGGACACGTTGTCAATCCAATGAAGGGTTAAACAAGACCCAATGGAAAAACAGCTCTCAATCCGAAACACGTCAAGTTTTTAAAAATAATTTTAAATTTAGGTTCTCTACAAACCACATTTTTTTATTAGTATTAACAAGCAAAAGTGCGTTGAACGTGTATTATATTCTCGAATGTACTAAACAAAAAAGATTCAATAGAATTTAATTTCGAACACGTAGCTTCGACACTCTCTTTTGTAAGGTGAGTCTATGTGGACTGATATCAAAGTTGGAGAAAGTCGTGGAATGAGAGTACACGTTATTGCGACGAGATATTGAATTCCGTAAAATGAAGCTACAATAGCATTCGCAGAAAACAGGGAATTCCATTATTCGCTTGAAACTCTATGGTACCCGAGCTTTGTACCCCAATACACCTATTTTCTTGTTAAGTATTTCAAAGATACATACATACCCCCGAACAAGATATTTCAACGAGTTGAAAATTTGTTGCGCATTTTCTTTTTCCACAATTTACAACTTTTTACAAAAAATTACTCCTTGTAAAAAAACCCAAACATTTTGAAATTAATAGTGACGTGGCGTCTGACATTTCAAAGGGAAAACTCCCCCACGCTTGTTAATCTTCAAAAAGATCCAAGGGACTTTGAACAGAGCCACCCTGCAGTACCGCAACGTCAGCTTTACCAAAATCTCCGGAGACCTCTCGATTCCCACCCAAACCTCTCCTCAACGCTGTTTCGCCCACCCCTGCATGTACAATGACTCTCATCGTTTTACCCTCTTTTCCCTCCAACCGGACGGATCCTCTCTCTCTCTCTCTCTTTTCTAGCGAAATAGGATCGCGAGAACGATCGAGGCGTTGAATGGGCGCGAACCCGCGCGAAATGGCCGAACAAGAGACTCCATCGTGCACACTCATAACCGATGGAATCGGCATACGCGAGACTGGGTTGGAGTTGGAGGGTCGCGCGTGAAAAGAACGACCTTTTTATTTTCCCCATCTCGTTTTGTGGTGGACGCGTGCATGTGGTACGTATACAGCACGTGGGTGTGTATAGATTTTTTTTTTTTTTCATCCCACGATCGTTTGGCAGTGGATCGTTATACGAGTTTTCTGCGCGGAAGATGCGCTGCGAATCGATCACCGGGAATTTTCGTTAAAGTCGATGACGTCGTAGTTGGTTTTCGCTCTTCTTCCCCTCGGGTCGGACTTTATCATGGTTTTGCATGGAAAGTTGGGGAATAATAGGACGTATGGATGGCTCCAGGGGCAGTAAAGTTAGGGATGTACTCGATAGCGTCTCTCGAGTAGGTCAAGTATTTTGTATCCTGAGTAGGTGTATGAAACTACGATTTACACTTGAAGGTGAGCTTGAGTCATCGGAATGAACCTTAATTCAGTCACCTCGTGAAGTTTTGAGTAAACGTTCAAACGGCAACCTGGAAAAGAGCAAGTATCACTTTTGGGTGAATGTAACTTTCAAAGCTGCCAGTAAAATATATTTGCTCGCAACTTCATCGGGTAGTAGATTACGTTTAGATATTGTGCCTCTATATGTTTACATTAGCAATAATATTAATATTACTGAAACACGATGGATTTGTCAGTGAAATTAATTTCTCTCTTACGAATCAATCATATTACATCCGCACATGTTGGCGTTAATAACGCGGTATGATTAAATTCACAATGAAGGTACATTGATTGCAAAACGTTAATAATAATTATTGTGAAAGTCAGCTCTATGCTCGCAAAATACCAGAAATTCAGCCATTACAAGTTTAACTTTCAGCAGCATCAAACTTCCCATTAAAAATGATGGAAAAAAAACAACAATTCTTCCTCCCCACTTACTCGTTCCCGCAGCTAAGGCGTTCCCAACTTTAATTTACTTGGAGAAAATTTTCCCCAACGCCCGACCACTTGGAACTCGTAATGAAAAAAAAAAAAAAAAAATCCCCAACTTACGGTAAAGCAAGCAAAGCATCTTTAAATCGCGGGCAGAGGAAGGAAAGAAGCCCCTTACCCCATGCGCGTCAGGGGTGCGAAATATATATTCGTCGAAGGCAGAGCCAGCAAAGCCCCCCGATTGGCATGCAATTTCGAATCACGCCTCGAACCTTCTATCTGCCGGGATACATCCCCCACGTGGGTGCAAATACGTGCACGCGTCGTCCTCCCCCATTTTTTACCACCCACCCAGCCCCTACTCGCACGTACATGCACAAACGTGCACTTGTAAGCAAATAAATAGACTTACGTGCGCGGAAATATACATTCGCCGGAGTGCCTCGGTCGAATGCGACGCGGGAGCCTATACGGTGTCGAGGAAGGAGCGAAAATTGAATTTCCCCCGATGCTCGCAGCCCCGCGGGCTGTACACGACATAACTGAATTTCAACCGATCTCGGGCCCAAGGTGATGCGTCCACCAGCGGTGGTCGGCGTTTCGTACGTCTTCATATCTCTCTCCTCCATTGCTCTCTTCGACCGAAATTTCCTTTCCTCGATTTGGGCGCTAAAAGTCAAGGGTGGTAATGCGAAAACGGCACGAGCCACTTTGGAAGTACGGGGGGAATCCGTTTTCCCGTTTTGTCGAGAAAGTGATTGGGACGAGGAATCGAGTACTGGCGGCCATTCAGCAGGGAAGCACGCAGTTTGCAAGTACTTGACCTCCGCCTTGGGGTCCCTACGGACTTGTGTACGGCCGAGAGGTAGGGGGTGGCATTAGAATACAATTTCGTCGAGATGGATGGAAATTACGCGCATTCTTCGGGGGAAAGAAGAAGAAAGAATTTTCGCCAATCTCGCTCGGGTGGGAATGTCCGAGTTGGGCGGTCGCATATGGACGATAATCGAAAGCTCGCTTCCTCTCCCCCCCCTCGTGTTTGTAACGCGTGTTACGAGCTTCTTTGGGAAAGCTCGAGTGATTATTGCGGAATAAATTTTAGTTACCGGCGCCTCGAGGGAACAAAGTGGTCGACGTCGTCCTTCAGCGCGTTAGGAATTTAATCTATTCGAGTGAAAGCTTTTACCCGTAGTCGTGTGGTAGGTGTATACATACAGGGGGTGGCTCATCTTTGGGAACGATACCGCGAACACGCATAGCGAGGGATGAAAAATTTATGGACAATCGATACGACGCCACGCACCCGTGATGATAAAAAATACAAGCTCTCCGTTTTCCCCCTTTTTTTTGATTCACTACCACGTACCCTTCATCGAAATCCAATTTAAGGTACTATCCAGTGTAGCAAGTGCTGGATTGAGAACTTTTCATTGTCTGATTGGAAGGAGTGCCGCTACGTGCTAATGATGACGAAAGAAAGTATGTATATATACTACACTGCCCAAGTCCTTGTGAATTGATTGGTCGAAAGTTCCAGCGGGGACGATCCTTCCCTTCGGGGTAATCACTCGGCACGCGTGCGGACACGAAGAACTTTTCTCGGGTTGGCAAAAAGAAAATTCATCGGGGAGTCGTGGCTCGGTGTTTAAAGAGAAATCCAGCCTTTTCTCCACCCCCTTCTTCTTGGGGCCCTTTCTTTCCTCCAGCGAGACGTCATTCGTTGTAAGACGAATGGATGGGGGGGTACCGCGAGACTCGAATAGTTCATGCGGATCCAATTACACTTTGAGCGAACCTCTCGATGATTATTCCAGGTCAGCGCGTCGCTACCGAGCAGTCCGGCTTTGGTTGGCACTCCCACTGCCAACTGGTGTAGCGGTGGTTGCAGAGAGGGTCTGCAGGAGTGGGGAAAAAAGAACGACACGATTCGATGGTGTCAAAGCTGCAGGGAGCCTGGAATGTTGGTGGTCAGCAGTGGATCGGGATGATGTTTTGTCCGAATTTTACCAAAGGGGTTGGCCGGGGGAGAAGCGATGACTCGTGTCGCGTTGGCTTCTTCGAATTCAACACGACTTTACAGCAAATTTTCCGACGTGCGACGCCACGGGAGGTGCAGCTGGAAAATATTTTTCTTCACGCGTGAAAAAACGCTCCAAAGCGCTCGATTTGATCATCCACGACGCTGAAGCGCACTTCACTTCCGCGCGTATACGCGTACAGTGTCAAAGGTAGCCGCAACAGCTGTGACGGCAACTTCCACTTTAAAAGCCACGGTTTTGAGGGATACCGAATTTTACCGGTGTAGAGACAAGCTCGTGAAACTTGACGCAATAAAACGGGTGCTGTAAAAGCTCGCGGTGAAACTTTGGGTTTTTCCATCGCTTGACTCGGTGAAACGTCTCTGGGGGAGGGGCGTTGCAAAAATATTGTTCACCTGTCGAAATGGCACTTGGCCCAGTTGGCCCTTCCCCGACAAGACGAGCACTGTCGCTCGGAAAAGTCTTACCCTGTAGGCTCCATCGGGGGGATGAAGAAAAGTGTTTTGCAAGTGTAATCGCGTCTGGGAGTCGGGTATGAAAAATTAATCATTCGCTCGTGGATTTCCCAGCCGGCACGAGCTCTCATCGAAATGGAACGATCGAGGCGTTCCCGGGGATTTTCATGATTGTTCGACTCTCATCAATTAGCATTTTACGGCTAGCGGATGTATTTCAATGGTTTTTTCCAACGACACGTTTTAATCCTGCAACGAAAGAAAAATGTCCCGAGAACAAATGTGACCGTGCGTATCTCGCACACTGCACTTCGATTCACAGAAACGATCACGGATGGCCATCCCTCGTCCGAGCGGGGAAGAAAGTTGATTCAGTGAATCCACTCCATCACGCGCGAGCGCACAATCATAATATTTCACATTTTTTTCGCCCCTTTCGAAGAGCTACGGTGCAAGCGAGGTGGAGGAGGATAATCGCCATGGCTCCCAGAAATTTTCCGAGAGAGAGAGAAAATATACTCTTCTCGCGAAGCGCATTCCGCGCGGATGAATAACAGCGGCGTTTTCAATTGCGCGAGGAGCCTGGTGTAATTATTCATTTGCTATCTCGGACACCCCCTCCCCGACGCGTGCTCATGGTCATTAGTATTTTCGGAAAATTTTCCCGGGTCCCTCTAATGAATTCTATCCCACCGGCTGGGAAATTTCACTTTTATTCCGCTATTATACGTTACGTCTTTCGACCTTGCGCTTCGTGCTGGCTTTTCGACCGAATCGTAGCCGTGAGTGTATTTGTCATTGATGTTCATATTTATTCGACAAGAAAATCCATTAAGCTGGGGAAAATGTGTAGAAAGAGAGAGGATATTGAGTAAATAAAAGGATGAAAGTCGGTTGATCGCTTTGGAGACACGACTGGGCCATTGATCACGCGACACGTCCTTAAAACTCGGCGCAACAGTGGTCTTTTTGAAGTTGGTAAACAAAGGCTCGAGAAAGAAAGTTAAGCCTTTGAATACTTTTTCTTTTTTTTTTTTTTCCTTCCTCTCGCAGCGATCACGACTTTGAAAAGGCCTTTCTTTACTTTTCCTGATCCCGGTGCTTCGAACTTTTGTAAACCGATGCTCGGGCATTCGACGCACGTTTTGCCATCCCCGACTTTTACTCGTACAAGCGTGGCGCGAACTTTGGGATTCAAATTATTTTTCAATATTTTGCAGCGTTTTGCGAGACTCGTAGGGGAAAAAAAAACAAAATTTGTGGAAACTAAATCAGGCGAGGCTTTGAAATACCGAAAAATGTGTTTAACGAAAAACTCTCGGGCCTGGATTTTTCGAAAGAGGTTTTTTTGCCGATTACTTGAAAATTTATTTTATATTTATCAAAGATGCACGTGACATGTAGATTTTTTTTCCTCCTCTGGGTTTTCGCAATAAGCTCACCTATATTTTTGGAGAAAAAAATTCTGCTTGACATTTTATCGATTAAATACACTGCAGTTGAATGTATAAAAATAACTTTTCACTAATCCAGAGTACAAATTTTGGCGACCACTCCACTCTAAGCTAAAAAAAAGAAGAGTCAAAGATACCACCAAGACGAAGCGCCTTTACAAAACCAATTAAAACTTCTGCAGCCCAAGCCAAATTTACTCCCAACAGAGAGGACAAATTTAATCTCTGTAGGTGTCTTCAAAGACAATATCCCTTGCGAGTCCCTGCAATAAATTTCCTGGCTCGCTCTGCGTCCAAAAACTCAAAGTCCCACCAACAACAACAACAAGAACGACTGACCCACTTCTCCTTATCGCCATTAAAAACAAAAAAAGCTCGGCGCTTTTAACTAAATCCACGCGCTTCCCTTTGATACCCACAACAGCGTCCGTCCTCTTCGATATACATTCTCCGTCCCTCCGCATTAAGCTACTTATTGCACGGAGGCGGGAAAAAAAGGATCACCCTGTTAAGTTTACAGTCACCCGGGTAATCCTCGCCCTCCTCGAAACCCCGGTCGTTTCAGCCTTAATGCGGATTTTCTTTCCCCAACAGCGATATTTACGCGTAGTTACGCAAAAATATACACGCAGCCATAAAATTATTCGGAGGAGGGGCAAGTCTGATGGCACTTACCGCAGGTGTAGACGACCTTGAGGTACGTCCTGCTCTCCGGCTGACAGGGATCACCAAAGGTCGAGCTGTTGGCCGCGATCAGACAGTGCCTCCGCCCGTGGCACAGGTCTATCACCATCTCCGTCGCTCTGTTCTCCATGCACGCTGAAAACAAATCATTTCATCTATACCCATGCGTACCGGGATGCATAAAAAAAAAAAAAAAAAAAAAAACATCATAAAACTGCGTATCGCTGTTTTTCCACCCTTCGACGTTTGTTTGTCTCGCGCGTATAAGGTACCTACCGGGCTCTTTACGAGCACCATTCCCGTGTCGACGGAGTTGCTTTCATAACTGCTTTACGAGCCACAAACCGTACCAGCGAATGAAAATTTCATCGAGCCTGTACACTTATAGTATTAAATTACGTCCTCGCGGGGAGTTAGTTACCGCCTCGGCTCGATGCGAGAAAGCAAAAAAAAAAAAAAAAGCGAGATGGTCCGTCGTCGTGGACTCATCGCTTCGTAAACGAGTTCATCGGTCCCTTGTGCACACGGAGAGCAAAGAATGGCACTATTTATCGTCTCGGATTCCCATTAAGCCCGCCCATATGAGTCCAAGACCCGGTTCGGTGTGTAATCCTCCTTATGCGACCTCGTCTCGCGAGCGATCAAATCGAAAAAAGCTCGATGCGACGTGACGCCAGTTTTATGAAAAAAAAAAAAAAAAAAAAACAACGACTACGTCGTGTGTAATGAAACGCTTCGGGGACAAAAGGAAGAATACAGCTCGCTTGTTCGGTTCTTCCTCCGCTGTGCGAGTGTAAGGTTGTGGAACAAAAAAAAAAGAGCATTCCCTTTGGATGGCGACTCGTTTTGCAATTGATTTTTCAATCAAGTTTAAGCACTCCTCGTGAAATCGACATCGGAATCCATTAGTGCTTGCGTCCGGGGCACAAAGAGCGTGCGATATCTCTGAATTTCCTTTCGGACAATCCGTGGCATTATCGCGGGAGTAAATTCGAATCAGCGCGAAATAACCAGGGGATCTCTCCGATCTCTCTGGAAAATCACGGTTTCCCCGCGTACACTCGAGGCTTCGTAGCACAGCTGGCCATCGAAATATTTAACACTGTACGAGATCGAAACGGTCGCTCTTTTATTTTCACAATCAGCCGGGACGCGTGTATCCCAGCCTCCCCCCGCCAAAAAAAGGCAACCCCATATAGTCGTCCCGTGGAAGAAAAAAGGAGAAAAGGTAAGAGAGGATGGGTCTGGCTGGCTAGACGGAGATAAAGAGAACGACCAAGTGGGTTGTTATCGAGGGGGGGAGGAGAAGAAAAGATACACGGAAAGGGTCGCCTGTGTATTGTCGCCGACAGGGGCCAGCGTCCGAGTGATCGCTGGCGTCCCCTCCCACACACGCCGTAAAGTCATTTCGCGGAGCTGGGCATCGGTGATGGATTTTTTTTTATCCCCGAGACTTTTCACACATTTTTTGAGAGCCGCTTCAGCAATAACCACCTTTGATACTTTTGTCACGAAAAATTTGCACCGATTGAGAAAACATACGTTACCCCCCGATGTTACGTATACTCAATATTTTTTCCGCGCATTATTAATCGTTGCCCGAGTTTTGGATCAACTGAACTGCGAAATGAGTATAGGTACACGTCAGGAGGAGCGAAAAGACGCTTGAAAATTAATGATGGCGTTTTGCACGGAGAGGGGACTGCGCTCTTTTTTCAATTGAAATCCGGGTGGAGTGTTCTTTTTCTTCCCTCGAATTACCCCTCCAGCACCATTAGTTTTAAGCTGGATTTCCTTAATGAATCGGCGCTATTTGAAAATAAAGAGCCCAAAGTTCTCGGCTGAGCTTAAAATTCGTTTGCCAATTTTTTTTTTCTCACGCGAGACGAGATCTACTGTTGATTTTTCATTGGCAAGTGGTATCAACTTAAACTATAAGCTTATTTTTTCCGAAAAAAAAGAAAAAGTTACAAACATTCAAATGAAAACATCAATGTATACGTACTCTCGTCCTTGACGCCATTAGGCTGAGGACACTGTAGCGACTCGTACTGCGTTCTCCCGAAGAAGGCACTGTAAATCGCGACCCTGTAGTTCGGGAAGCAGGAGAGATTGATGACGTCATTTTCGCAGGCCACCTTGCTCCTGAATTCATCTGTAAGCAAAAAGATAACATCGTCCTTTAGGAGTCGCGTTTGTGGGTCTACAACGACGCTCATTACAATACTCGAGATATATACATAGGTATACGAAAAAAAAAAAAAAATAAATGGGGATAAGGGGAAAAAAAAAGGAAGAGATTCTCGCTTCAACGAAGCTATTTTTTTTCCCACAGCAGCTGAGGAGCGATGGCGAAGTGTTTGTCAAAGTGTTGGGCTTCTTATCTGGGCGTCCGATAAACGGACCCAGTCAACTTTATACCTCTCGCCGTAATGTGAGACAATTTTTTTTTCCACCCACTTTCAAAAAGAATTGTATAAGCACCGAAATGATCCTTTGGAGGGTATCACGCTCGATTTGTTCGGCAGATATACATCCACTTCAAACGGAAAATTATAACGGAGCAAAACGGCACCCCAAACGGTTGCCAGTTACCGCAAAGCACCGGTAAATCAACGGCCCTAATATCGCGCAGACGCAAAAGAAAAATCGCAGAGTATCTCGGCAGGTGCGTGCCCTCGTGCTCCGTTTTGTCCCGCATATATACACATCCACGCGGGCGCGTCTAATAACCGGGGGAATCCCGTCGCGCATAATTCCTAGGGCACAGTTTAGCCAAGGCGTCGTCGCTATTATTCGCACGGTATTTTATTAAACAGCTGCGAGGCAGTTTCGCGCAAAACACACACACGCACCCAAGGACAAACAAAGTTGTATACCCATCCACACGCGCGCGCGTCATTAATAATCTCCCGGGCCTGAAGTGACTGGCGTGTCGGAGGCAGTAGAGTCAAAAGCGCGCCGCAGCTGCGCCGTGAATTATTTCTGAATCGCAGGAGGAGGAGGACGCTTCCTTTTTTTTTTTCGCGAATCGATGCCGCGGAAGCTCCTCCCTTCGAGGGGCTGATTTTTCGAGCAGCTGAGAAAAAAAGAATCGGCTCCCCCCCTTCCTTGTTTTTTTTTCATTATTCAACAGCCGTGGTAGAGCGTATTGCTGCAGTATTAAAGGATTAGGGATTGGTCCGTGTGAGCGGAGGCGCGGGGATGAGATTATTTGGAAGTTTGATGTATCGAGCCTTCCTACCCCCGGGGGTTTTATTATTCATCCAAAGTGGCCGGTTTATTATTAAAACGAGCGCGAGCGGGAAAATTTACGCTGCGAATCTCTGCATGTGTACATTATGCGCATCGATCGCATCGTCTCGGGATTGCTTTTTTTTTTTTTTTTCTCAAAGCGGTGTGATGAGAATCAGCTTCGTTGAACTTTGTTTAGAGGAGCAATCACCCAAGCTCGGCCGACCCGACATTATCCACTAGGAAAGCGAAACGTTTGTAAATAGGAAAAACACAAAAAATACGAGTTGTAGTATTGCCGATACGCAATAAAAGGAGCTCAAGTATAGGTCGATCACTTGATTTACAGGGGCCATAGTAATAAACAGAAAACTTGTGCAGTATACATATAAGGTATACGTATGGAGCCAAGTACGATTGGTTTTCGGAAAACTTGGCCCAAAGAGGGAGGGAAGCGTGGCCGCTGAAAGCGCAGTGTTTACAAAATACTTACAACTTTTATTCACGACTGTTCCGCGAGGACTACAAACCATCCTCCTTCCATTTCCTTTCGAAAATCCCACATGTATACCTGAGAGAGATAAAGTGCAGAAGCGGTGGTAGTCCAGTTTTATCGAGTCACTGATTTACCGATCCAACGCGCCCCCGCGAAACTTCTATCGGCGCGGCGCTCGCGAACTCGTACATACACGCGAGCGAGTTGTTGGTGGAAGAAGGAGGGCGCGTCTTCCTCTTTGAGAAAACGAAATTACGGTAGGGCTCCTCTGCTCCATAAATTCGTAAAGTTGTTTGCCGAGGGTCTCATCCTCCCTCCACCCGTTTTTCCTCTTAAATTTCACATGAGCCGAGCGTCAATTAGACGGAATATTAATTTTTTGCCGCGCCACTCGTCATCCCCAACGACCACTCGACGCTGTTATTCATCACTGCGGTGCTCCCCGATAAATCCGCGTCCCTTTTTGGACGAGCCTTAATTACCAGCCGGGCCAATTTTCGCCGTGTAGATTTTTCGATCGTCTTTATTTTCTAGCGTCTTTGAGTGTATAAATCTCCGGAAGGGAGGGTTAAAAAATAATACCCGCGATAAAGAAGTCCTTTGTTAACTAGTAACGATGTTCATAAATCATACGAAGTACAGAGGAAGTTTGCATCCCCCCCCCGAATGTGCGGAGTAATTATTCTTTCCGAGGGGACGATCGAGTCGATGATAATTTTTACGCCCCGTCTGATAAGTATGTTATTTATGGGATTATTTTTGCGGGAAAAATTTGAGGTGGCTGTGTTGTAACTAACTTGTAATATTCGTCAGTACTCAATTCGAGAATAATGAAAAAGAATGAATCAGTAAACAACTATCATTTAGCAACCCAATTATTTGAATCAAAAATAATTTCTTTACCCTCATTCTGTCAAATATTTTGTTTTAATTAAAAAAATAGAATTCTATTGCATATAATATTTTATTAAATCAAAAATTTTTTATTTAAACACAAATTTCTTATTTAATTGTGTGCAATGTTTTTTGGATCGACTTAATTTTTGTTTAATTAAAATAAAATATTTAACGGAAGGAGGGCAAAGGTTCTCTATTTTGGTTTTGGGATCCAACAAAACCAAATTTGTACGAAAAATAGCTGGTCGGACATTTCGGGAATGCATTCAATGTGTACGCGTTGAAACGTTGGCAGTTTGCACCTGAATGTTACCCTCGTAATTGTTGCTAATTGACGACCTCATACGGATTAACGCCCAGTGTGAATTTTACATGCAATACGTTGTAAAAAAATCCTACCGTGGTCGTGTGGCTAAATATCGCTCCAAAGCGTTGAACTATTCAACCGAGAGTTAATAAATGAGCGCCCAAATACCACGCGTACCTCGTACCTCCTGCGAATTTAATGACGCGCAGTTAGCTAAGCTAAAACTACGCGCGTGATTTGCTCAATCGCACACACGGGGCAGTGATTTTCTCCGTTAATTTTTAATCAAAACATTTCGCATGCTATGCTCAATTTAAACCCCTGAGAATCAATTATTTTGAAATCAGCCGAAAGTAATTACCGAAGCGCGATTCAACTTGTTTTTCTCGACTGAGCTCGTGCTGTCCCTTTGCCTTTGTTTTTTTTTCCAGTACGTGATTCACAAGCATACGTCGATTCTCTTACAAAAAATGAGATAAACAAAAAAAGCTCTTCTCTATTTGTCAGAGGTACAGTTTTTTTTCCTATCACCGATCGGGATCTTGCTTCTTATCCTTTCACCCTTTTTCTTTTTTTTCTTTGTTGTACGTTTTTTACGTGTAATCTCGTTCGGTGAAGCAAAAGATCCTACAAGTTCTGCGCTCGATTAAACTTGCAAGCAAAAAAAAAAAAAAAAAATGTACCCACGGTCAAATTCACAACCCAATAATCATACGATAAAATAACGAAAATCGCATAAACGCACAAAATACGGTCTCAAGCATATAGCCGGGACAAGCGCGTATCATTAAGCCTCGAAATTTATTCCAAGCGCCAAATCCAAAATCCTGTGGCAGCGCGGACTCTGCGATGCACAGTAATAATCGCCCCCTGGTACTAGTCCCGGCAACTGCAGCTACACATGCACACATAAACACACATGCCCCAAAATACCCGGACGCGCTTTCTTAATCTCTAACCCACATCATGTCCTACAGTTGCGGCTGAACGACGGAGGGCCACGAAACCCAACAGCGGCACTTCTCCCCCCGGAATGCGAATTAAATGCGCGGCACAGCTCCTGAGGGGAATGGGGAAGCGGAGGAAAAGAGAGACATGTGTGTGTGTGTACAGGGGCGCGAATGACGGCCCCTGATTACCCAGGTGTAATAGTCCAAGCGCGCACACCTGGCCAGCCCCCCACCCACGTGCTCGTAACATGACGATTACTACTGCATCCGCGTACATGCGTACGCTCGTAGCCGCAAATTCATTTGTCGACAGCACTAGCACGTGCGCCGCGCGGGCGTCACACTTATATTATCAGCCACGCTGAATTAAGGCTACCTCGGTTACGGGGGTCCTATTAATTACGTGGGACATTTCGTTGCGGTTCTCGGAGGGACGAAAAAAAAAGATGGTATTCCCATCGGGGGAGGATTTTAATAGGGTAAAAACTTTTATAATTACAAAGGATGGAGGGGCTGTACGGATTTTCGATGAGTGTATTTGTAAACGAAAAACAAAATAAATCGACCGGATTTCCCTCCAGGCGTTTAATCACTCGTGGATAATTAAATAAGCGGAAAAGCTCGCGTCACGTCGTCCCTGTGACGTTAGCAGTGGGAGTGGGGGAGGGGGAAAGTGTGCGACAGAATGCGAATTTTTTTTTTTTCAATTCGACGATTCATCATAGCGTCGAGAATAGCCGTCGACGAGTAAAAGCGAGAGAGCACACCGGTCCTCTTCCCCTTTTTCATTTATAGCTCGCGAGGGAATTACATGTCGAGTTTTCCGAGTCGCTAATTAGTTTGCTTGCACTGCGGGGTATACGGGAGAGGGAGAAGCGGTGCTTGTCAATTTTCCATTCAATTTTTTTTTTTTTCTTTTTTATTTCAATCGGGTCGTACACGCGCCTCCTCTTTCCATCGCTCTCGGGCGCGACATTCTACGATTAATTAAATTCTTGTGTCGGTACAAAGTAGTGTACCAAGGGACGGGGGGTCAGTCCGGTGAATTATGATTGATTTGAAAAAGGAGCCCTGCAGTCGAGTACACGCGCGCGACCTGACAGAGGCACCGCTCGTCGCATGGCTTTTTTTTCGCAATTGCTCGGAATGACGGATTCGAGTGACCTTGTCGTACAGCGAGTGTGATTACATTTCAAAGAGACGAGTCGAATACTCGCTGATCGATTCATACCACGATTTTACTTTTGATTTAAAATATACTTTATTTCCTTTGAAATTGTTCAGGGACTTATCTATTATAGATCCATTATTTGCACGTAGCTGAGTGGGTACAACAATATGTATGGTAAATGAAGGGACCATTCTCTCAATGGCTCGAAACCTTATAGTATTAGCAACAGACATGCCCATGTCGTTTGTATTAACCATAAAATAAGTAACTTCTCAACTCCGCACGGCTGATTGTTTTTGTAAAATGAACGTAGTGTTTCGAAAAAACGTCAAGAAACTCTCTGGCAAATCAAAAAACGTTGCATCTTCTCGTGCTCGCTCTCTACCGCACCCTCCCGACCGTTTCAGCCTGACGGTTACCCCGACTTTGATTTATGTTAACCCTATGCTCAATAACGCACCCACATGTTCACGCATCCGCTCCCCCGCCCGTCACTTTTTTTGCACACCGACTTCACCCCATCCCCCCCCTATTTTTTTCCTTGGCTCGTATTCAGCAAATTGCATGATGCACGTGAACCCTTTAATTTGCAAGTCTACAACCAGACCGCGCATCCTCCTTCCTCCCGTGTTTGTCCTTTTTTTTTGCCTCGTGATTTTTTTTCTTCCCTCGGTATGGATGGCGGCGCACAACGCGAGAGGATTCGTAATGAGGATCGATCGCAGGGGGGGGGGGTCTTCTCTTTCCCTCCGTTTGATCTGCTTTATTTTTCTTGCTGCTGGAAAACACGACGTGAAAGTGACCTGCTGGAATGGTAATAAGAAATATGCCCTGCTGCCGGTGCTCGATATTTATCTCTCGTAGACGAAAGAACAACCCGGGACCGTGTGCTTTTTCATTCTCGGAGGGCTGCGTGCTTATTCGCCCGGGCTGGCAGCTGTCTTTATATGTTGACGGAATGAACAACGGAGCACAAAAGGGGCGCGCAACTCTTTTTTTGCTCGTTCTTCAGTTTTTCTGAGCGTTTGCCTTCTCTTTATTTGATAAATTCTTTTTTTTCCTTGTTCGCGTTTCTCTTACTGAATTTTAAATTAAACTAAAATTAAATGAAAGTGTGGAATGGTTGGGATGACAAGAGGGGAAAAAGAAAGAAAAAAAGATGAATCATTCGGTGCTTCGTATATTATACTCACAGGGACGGCACTTGTAGACAACTTCGACAAATTTCGGCACGTCTGGACACGGGTCGGACATTTTCGGGGTCGTGTTGAACGTGCACTGGCGCTTCTTTTGACACACCTCCACCACTGTCTGCAACAGAGAATGCTACACACAAACCCATCAGAATGATGCTATCACTTTAACAATTCGTTTTATTCGTTTGAATTTGATTCGTTTGCATTTCAATATTTTGTGAAATGAAATTGTGATATGCTTGCGTTTTAGACTGCGTCTGACCTAACACGGATGTTTGCTACTTAAAATATTTAAACAAATGAAATGTTTCTTTTATTTATTATGTCCATTTCGCTACAGACAGGCTTAATTTGTGAATTAATCGTTTCTTTAAAATTAGTGAATGCAGAGTATGAATCATGTCTGAACTAACACGTGTATGTACTATTTAAATAATATTACATAAAACTCTTCCCTTTATTCATTTTTTTGTTACGTAAAAATTGTAGGGATTTAGTTTTTGAATCGACCGTCGGTTTTTATTAGTGAATGTTGAATACAGGTTACGTCTGACTTTATACTTGCATTTACAACTTAAAACTTCTAAAAGCGAAATTTTTGATCATAGAATTTATTTTGTTGTACAATATGTTATACGAACGTCGTTTGTGAATCATTTGTCGATTTAAACTAGTAAATCTAGAGTCCAGATTATGGCTGACCAAATACGCACATGTACTACTGAAAAAAGAATTTTCCATCAACTAATCCATTCTATTGCTCACAGGTCCAAGAATTTATTTTGAAAACGTTATTTTTAAGGACATTTTATGAAAAGATTCCAAGTTTTAGCTGAAAAAGCCAAATTTTATTGATATCTGACTTAATATACAGGTGCACTACTTAAAATGCTTTCAATTAAACGTCTCTGATTTCTCAACTAATTATTGATTTTGCTGATAATTTACTGGTTTATAGTTGGTTTGAACCATCAGGAAATGTCGATAATTATATTCAGTGCGTGTGTCAAAGTGAACAGTAGTAACAGGTTTACGAGACTACTTATACACAATTAGACCTCAGATCCACAGTAGCTTTGATGTCACTTTTCATGGCCATGATGAAGACATTTATAGTTTAGTAAGGGTTCATGGATTCTATGAGTACATTAGCAAGTTTACTTGCAACTAAGGCGATAATTTCTCACATAATGTGAGTAGAGAAATAAAATAAACAACAGTCAATACAGAGAACTCCAAAGTGATACAGAGCTGCTTTCATTCCATTAGCGATGAGCAAAAAAAGTAAAAATAATCATGTACCTACACCAAACAGTGAGGAGTTTTAGCTCGGAGAATTAAATGGTACATCAAAACAGTGTCATTGAGCGGAGAGCACCTGATACCTCAAGCACTACTGGAGACAGAGAGAAAGAGAGAGCTTTTCAATCCAGCTGGGGAAGTTCACTCAAAAGATCGCGCTAAATAGGCAGTAGAGATAGCAAGGGTACAGGGGTAATTTCCTTGATGCTCGGCCTTCCTGTTTCCAAAGAAAACTTTCTAAAACTGTCAGCGGCGCGACAGAGACTCGGGCGACTTGGCTCTGTTTGGCTTTGGTGAGCTGCGAAGGAAATTACGTTCAACCCTTTTCCATTATCTGCCACTGGCTGCAGTAATAAGAAGGAGCTTTTAATTGCTAGACATCCTGTGCAGTGATTTCTCCTCTGCACTTTCGGGCTTTTTTTTTTTTTTTTTATTAAGCTTAAGTTTTAATTGAGTCACCGTGAAAATTGTCCACACCCTTACCGTTAACACTTTGCTTTGTACTGTGGGGGGGATTAAAGTTTAAGAAAAGGATAAAGTGTTTTTGACATTACAGTGGTACTCTTTGATTTAAGACCATAATCCAAATTCACTTTGTGCACAACTTCCGTAGCTTTCAGAGCTGTAAGTATTTTTTTATTGAAATGCAGGGCAAAAATAATAAGAAATAAATAAGACAGTCTGAATAACAAAAGAGAAAAAAAGGACCAAAATTTACCTATACAGCAGGAGGTGACACGTACAAGGTAAAGGCACTATTCATATTCCTTCTGGTAACATTGTTACCAGCGCTTAATTGTAAAAGATCACATGCAAGGCTAACAAAGAGTTTTCTGTCAAGTTTTGTCTACTAATAAAATTTATTAGTACGTTCATGCCTTTCTCGACTAGACTAAAGCAGCTCCATCAAACGTAAGTATAATTCAAGCACAACAACAGCAACAACCAACAAAACGAAAAACCTTATATTTCCGATGAAAAAATCACCTGTCTGGCGAGAGGTATAAATCCTTCTCTATTCAACCACGCGAGAACCATCAAAAGTCGAATCCCCCGTAGGAACAGGGAATAACGAGACAACGGACGGAAGGTTGTGCCCCTTTCTCGGCCCGATGTAAATGCAGAGATCATTACGAGCTCGCGAGACGACAAGCGGCCATTCCTCTCTCTTTCCCCCGTTTCTGTACCAACAGCTCGTTGCCCGAGGAATTAAGCTGGCCATTACGCTAGAGCCCGGCTTGTTACGGCGCTCGAAACTCTTGATACTGATGGCGCGCTCTCTTTTATTCGTTACCGCGGCGACGAATGGTTTGCGGCGCCTCGCGATAAAACCTTCCGGTTATTGCTCGTTTGGCAGAGGGAGGGAGAAAAAGGAGGCTGAGGGAAGGATTGATGTTTATGTTCGCGGGGATTATTACCCAACTTCTTAATTTCCTGAGATACTTCTTCTTTTTTCTTTTTCCTTTTTTTTTTTTTTTTTTTATCTTTCAACGAAAATCTTCGGTAAATCACGATTTCACGTTCACCTGATGGTTACTGAGTTTATTTTATACCAGAGTGGTTATCGCAAATCCCAGAGTTTCCGTTGGTTCGATGGCTTCTTCTCTTACTTTCATTGGGTGTACTTGAAATGTGTTTGATAGGAATAGTTTAGTTATAATAAACACAAAATTATAACTCTAGTTAAAGTATCGCGAATGCCATACATTCGACATTGAAATACCACGGATGAAAAAAAAAATACCCGTGGATAGAGTAGAGCGGAATTGCGGGTAGAAATCGGTAAAATGCTAATGCGCCCGTGAAATTGAACCTTTCCACGCTCGCACCCCGCCGCCAACGATACAGACAAGACAATTCCTCGCAGGCAAGCAAATAAGCCGCCAACCGTACAACTCCTCCGGGGGATCACGAGGCGAGGCATTATTCTTAATTTAATTTGCCCACCGCTGTCGCGCGGAAAACTTTCGTCGACTCTATTTCCCCCCCCTCACTTTTCCGCGCTCTCTTTCTCGCTATTTCTCTCATCTACTTATCAAACGCGAATCAATATGAGGATCCACCCAAAAGTTCAAGTTTGACTTTTTTCTCAATAAATACATGACAGTTGGATACATGTTCGAATTAATATTATGAAAATCAAAATTAGACTACGTTGTATCATTTACAATTGTATACGTACATTAATCTAACTATTCCAATTTAAATTACTTTGATGAGCTTTTGCGTATGAATAAATTTCGTCCCTTTACTCGGACTCATTGCCGACTGACCCATTTCAATTGGCACTAAAATTGTTTACACCGAGTATCATTGCAACAACACCAAATTGCCAATAAAGTCAAAACAGCGTCCAATAAAAGCTGCCAAAGCTCCGAAACGCAAAAGGCACGACATTAAACGTCATTAGCAGCTTGTTCTCATCCGGTATTACACACGTGTACGCCAACACCGATCCTCGGCAATCGTACGTATATATACAAAACATTAATGCACAGCTTCCACGTATTACTCGTATCGACTACCCTATGTACACATACACATACATAACACACATATATAAATGTACTCACATCCGCGTTGCGGTCCATCGAGCACGTGCTGGCGACGAGGGAGGAGGGGGAGGGACCGAGGAATCGAGATACCCCTCTAATACCCGGTCATCATATAATGGTCACGGCAGCAGCAGCAGGCTCTACTGTGCTCTTTTGAAATACGCCGTTCAGTCGCGGTGGCTGATATTAGCCGACCTTAACGAGATTAATAATCCCGGGGTCGTCCCGTACAATAGCGAGTTACCTCCCGGTATTGATCTAGTTTTTGCCCTCTTTCTCTCTACTTGTGTAACTAACTCATTTCGGGTATGCACGTTTGCTATTGCCTTTTTTACGGCAATCTTAAAGAGATCTTTTTTTTCAGCAAAAGGGGTTGTAGTATTAGTCAGGGAAAGGGAGGAAAAAAGTTATCAAAACTAAAACTGTCTGACTGACTGTGTCCGAACAAAAAAAAAAAAAGAAAAAAAAGAGGAGCAACTAAATAGACGGATTCCCAAGATTGATGGGAGCAGAAACGCTGGCCCGGAAAAATATATGGCTCCGGGAAGAGTTTTAGTTCGCGTCATTCGCAAAAAAGGGGTGGAGGGGGCATTGAAAAAGCGCGGCACAGAATCGCGACTCCCGTTGTCCAAAAGCAGAAGGAGGACGGGGGGGGGGGGGGGGGTCAGAATGTCGGGTATAAATGGCGAGCTCTTCGCCAAGAAATTGCGGACCATCGCCGCGCTCCCTCCCCCTCACCGTATCCGGGCTAGTGCGTGTCCGGGAGCTTCCGGCGTGGCTGCAGATTGAAACTGCCGACACGCGGGAGGAACATTTTACATGGGGGCTCTCCCAAGAAAACCTCCGACGCATATTTCCCTTTTGGCGAAGTTAGTTGAGCGAATCGAATCGCTGGTGCCACGGACGCGACGCTCTCTCCAAGTGATACGTTTTTCGCAATGCCATTTTCTTGCTCGAGCAGCTTGTCGCTCTTTCGACTCTTCAGATTCAAACTCTTTACCAATTAATTACGTTTGTCAAACGAGTGTTAACTTACAGTTCTTCACCTCACTCGCAATTACGAGATCTCGAGTTTAACTTGTACAAAAAGCTTCTTTTTTTTCATACCAAACTTCTGCTCCGAGACAACCGAGGGCAGCTCGGAGTATAGTCCAAAGCCGATGAAGATCAGTGGAAAAACAAGTGGAAGTAAGAGCTTTCCTGAGGGGGGAGAAGGTGAGTAAAAGAGAGTGCAAGTTTCAGAGAGTTCGCGTGCACACCCTCGCTCGATCCCCTCGCAAATACACCATGACGGCGTTCTCAGCTTATCCGAGCCATACGAGAAACGTAAAACGCGAAATCGATACATTCCTTATCGGATCCCCACCGAGTTTCTCAAAGACACGGACTTTTGTCACTGGAGCACGCTCGCGTACACCCTTGCGCGCTGTTAATCGATACTACCTCGATTTAGCTGAGCCGCACTTTTTTTCTTCTTCTTTCATCACCTACGATAAACACTGGAACTTATCCAGCTTGAGTACACCAGAGTTAGATTGGACTCTCTGGAGTTTATATCCATAGACGGGTGATCGGGGTCTGTAATAATAACGTCGCGGGGTAGATCGGAGTTTGTGCACGAGCCATTGATCGCCGAGAGTATAGGTGAACTTCCGAGCGGTCCGGATAGTTTCCCTCCAAATGAACTGGAAGGCAAACTCCGTCATATCGCGCATTGAGAGCGTGTACGTGTATGACATTCGTTTCAACGTGTCTAATGATTTTCGACTTTGCTTGAACGGCTGCGTTGGCCAATCGATGAGATTACATCCCACCCCGTGATACGAAACAGCACCAGCAGGGATATCCGTGGTCTTTCAATTTCCGGGGTATCCAGGGGGTGGGGTCTCCGGTGTAAAGCAATCGTCGAACGGAAAACGCAAGATTCCAGGACTTGGTGGCGAACGAATGGTCCCTCGTGTAAATCCAAGCGTGGAACGCGAGCAATGCCCTCCACTGTTGCGGTTTCTTTGACAACGGGCCGTCCGAATTCCGAGTTTGAAATGCAGCGTAGCCTGCAACGATTCGCTAGCGCGCCAGCTTAGTTCCACCTCGGCCACCACCGAAAAATCTTAAAGGAATCCCCGTTTGGTGCAGATTCGCTCTGAAACCGGGAGTCGGGATTCCGAGGTGTAAAAGTCGTGAGAAATTTCATACGTTGGACACGCTTTGACTCCTTTGGCTTGGCTTCTTTTGCAGATGTTAAATCGTGTACGAGAGAAAGGTCTTTGTGTTCTTGAAAAAGAAAAGAAAGAAAACATATCCACTGAGAGTGCGCTGCCTCTCGGGAGATCGAGAGGACAACGGGAATCAAGATAACAACCCTACGACTCGTATACGATATTCATATCTCTTGATAACACGGGGTTCTCGGCTGTATGCAGCTGTTCATCCAGGGTGATTCTATCGAGCGCACGAAAATGTATACGTGATCCACAATGTGCATTTGATCAGCGGGTCGTGCACTCGCATATCGCTATTTTTTCAATTTTAATCGCTACGTTACGTCCCGTAAGTTAAAAAAAAAAAAAAGATACTCGTTATCATTAGGGCGATCGCCCAGCCAACGCAATCGGACGTCCGATGGAGCTTATAGAGCGAAAGGCTGAACTGACCCGTGCACCCGAGCTCTCGTCGTTTCGCGTCTCTTTTGATCCACGGAAAATAATCGAAACGTGACTCAATTAAATCCGCCCGAGAATTGCTGTTACGCGGATGCGTGGACAGGCGGCAATTATACACACGTGACGTGCGCCCTCTCCGTCAACGATATGGATTCATGGGCAACTCGTCAAATTAGTGACAGTCGATTATCCGATGCTTTCGATGCCAAGTGGGCACACTTTTGTTTCCAGCTGATGGGACTTTCTTCGATCGAACTCTCGGTTGATGGGATCTAACTTTTTGATCGAAATACATGCTTCTCTTTGTGTGAGGGTTGAAAAAAAAAAAAAAAAAAAAGTTCAAAGGCTCGCGAAGTGAAATGTCGGTGCTGTCGGCACACCTGCAAAATGTTTCCCGAGCGCCTTGCAAATTTATACTCCTGCGCCAAAAGGGCAGAAAGCCGAGGCACGCAGCACGGAAACAATGACTAATGCCGGCGACAAATAGAAGCATTACAGCCAGAGAGAAAGCGGACTCGGTTGAGCACAAAAGCTGGGCTGTCGTGTGCTCGGAGAGTGAAAAATTTCCTCGGGCCAAATTTCGTTCGCCTGCAATTGTAAATCCCCTCCCCCAACCCTGAGTGTTGTCCTTTTTCCCTTCAAAGCGGAAAAGCTTTGCAGCCGCTTGCAAAGCCAGCTGACCCGAAAGGGCACTCCGTGACTATCTTCTTTCTTTTTTTTTTTTTTCTTTCCTGTTGATGGAGTGTGCGGGAAGAAGTGAAATTGCGAATTGAAAAAAAAACCAAAAAAGAAAGAAAGAGAGAGTACTGGGTAGATTTGTGGTCCTCGAATGCTTTCTACTAACCCGCAAGGCTTGTGATTCCGCGTTTTAACAGGTGTTTGTTACTTTTCCTAAATTTCAATTCTCGTTACATCACCCACGTATTATTTAGCGTGTAAAGTGCGCATCAGCTATCAGTACTAATTATTCATAAAACAATTGCCGAATGGATAGATTTGATAAAGTCAGAGACATTTCACGACTGAGAGACACATTCGTGACTGAATTCCGAAGTGATGTAACTTTTTGACCCAAAGTGCCCAGTAATGTATTATTTATCATGAAACATCATTTCGCCGCTCTTCCCGTACAAACAAGTTTCAGTTAACAATACCAACACCTAAGGTTTTTATATCCAAAAACTTATTCAATAAGAACTTTTTGTTCCCATACTTTCTCGGCTTTCGTTCATCTCACCATTACCGTCATATTGTGGTTCATCCCTACTAATTCCTTTCACTTCCATCAAATCGAATAATGACACCCTTAAGCCCGTTCAGTTACGCAGTATTGCCGCAAAAAAATTAAATTTTTATTAAAATTTAGTTGAGTTGAAAAAAAAAAAAAATCCATTTTCAGTAGAACGAACACGTGTATGGTCAGACATGGTAAAAAAATGTATAATGATACATACCTGAAGAGCACTGGGAAAGAGGCACGTGGAGTTGAGATGATTGTCAGCGATGATGGGGTCGGTGGTGCTGCACTTGCCGGAAGTGTCGATGCTCGCTCGACCGTAGCGCGCCACCGTGACCAGTATGGCCGTGCCTATCGGGCACTTGAGCGTCATGTACTCCTCGTTGCAGGAGGCCCGCTGATACGTCTTTAGCGTGCCTGACAACAGAGCTGAATCGGTCACAGAGACAAAGAGAGGGGACGATCGACGACGGGACAATCGCGAATCGTGGCCCGTTTCTCGAGGCAGTTTTGTTTGTTTGTTGTTCAAAGTTCGCGTGCAACCGAGTTTTGCGATGCATTGGATGAATTGTACGCGCGCACCGAGGAGGACAAAATAATGTTTGTTTGCCGAACATTTGTAAGTTTTGTTATTGTTTTGTAAGTGAAAAGAGCATTGGTTTGGTGTAGAGAACGACGATGGAAATAATTTTAAATGCAAATAAACACGTGAAACGTATCCCGGGGTGGTTTTTATTTTTTTTTTTTTTTTTTTTTTTTCAAGTACGTGAAAATGACAATAATGACAACAACGAACGCAATTTGTTATTTTAGCCGCGCGATGCCATTGTTGTGATGCAGCGAGCATCGTTGTTTTTAAAAATCGACGAGCCAGGAGGATGATAATAATGACGAAACCGGTGCCGAATCAGAATGAAATTAATTGAAACGTCAGATGAACGCGGGTGCGAGCGACAGTGCATGAACATTTGTGGGACAAGTGGTGATGATTTACGAGCGTGTCAAAGGGAGGATCGGGAATGCGATAGCGACAGGATGAAGCCCGGGATGTGCGACAGAAAGGAAAAATGTGGGACAATGAGTGGCGCGTGTGTGGTTTTAGAAAGATGTCGTCGATCGATTGCGCCGATCAGTGTTAAGGGATGATATTGAGGGTTGGTGTTTTTGTGCACACGAGGAACAATGCATGATGATTGCGAGATCCATTATGGTGATTAATATACCATTACCAAGATCGCCCAGTAGAGTTATATTATTTGGTTGTAAGTAGTTCAATTTTTTTTTTTTTTTTTAATTCCAATCACCAGGTGGTTGGTGCGTTTTTTCGTGATAGGATAGGATGCAACGCCGCAGTGCAGAGGTCATTCGTCGATGATGATTTTTATTTATTTATTTTTTTTTTTTTTTTCATCGTTTGGAGTGCAGCAGGGTGTGGGCACATGAAAAAGAAGAGAAATCGTTCGTTAGTACTTGTTTTTTATTGAAAATATTTACATATGCATGTACACGTGTATATTATTATGGTTAAGCTGAAACTTATTTTACGATGAGATTGCATCGGACTATTTGTTCAAAAAAAAAAAAAACAATTAAAAAATAAACAAATGTTTTTGTTGGACATGAAAGCTTGTTAGAATTATCAGAAGGTATCCATTGTAATATTGATAAACTCAATACTGTCTATTTTAACATTAGCAAAGTCTGTAGCTATACATTTTGAAACGTTTACAGATAAAGCTTAGATAGTACCTCCGATAAAAAATATCAACTACAACTGCTGATCTTTGAAAAAAATGTGCGAAAAATTGAAAAGTCAATTAAAATTCCTCCCGTAATCCTCTCATAAATAACGAGAAACATCCCACAAAATAGGAGCTATATTTTGCAGGCGATTAAAAATTAAAAACTCCGCTGTGAGGGTGAGGGCGTGGATAGATAGGCGATAAGCGCACGCAATGCATTTATTTAGTGCGGCTATCCGAAATGTTGGGTGATCCGCCCCGAGAGAGCATCACACCCATCAGAGGATTTTCACCCCAATTTTTTGGCACGATATATATATACCCTCTGCTGGACTACACCTCCGGCTACGCGTGTGGTCGCGTGCGTGGTCTCCCCAATAATTTACGAGCGTATTATGGTAATTCATTAGCGTAACGTGTACACGCGCTCGCCGGCTAGTCCAGTGGCCAGTGCGTTATTTACGGTGAACCGCAATGGAAAAACGAGTAAAAGGAAAAACCTGGCGAGATTACCACGGCATGATTTCGTTTGACTAATTTTTTTTTTTTTTTTTGCTGTTCCTGCTTTACATAATGAAAATAAAAGAGCAGAAAAAAAATAAGTTGGACCTTTTGTGGGAATTAATTGGAAGTTGTGAATTCATTCGTTCCTAGAGTTTTCGGGGCGCAAAAGTGTACTTTTTTTTCATCCCGCAATTTAAACTCCAGAAGCGAGCCACTCGCTTTGATAATCCTTACGCGCGTGGATATCGTTTATTTTTTGTCCCAACTAAGCGATAAAACCGATGCCGTTGAGGGGGTAAATTAAAAAATTTTCTCGTCGCGATAACTTTGAACCTTTGAAACGCTCCTGAAAGAGATACCAGCTGGACGTATTGGAGAAATAATTGGATCGGAATCCTCGTAAAACGAAATCTACCGATGAAAGCCCGAATTTCGAAAATATCGAGACCTTTTTGAAAGCACCTTTCAAAATAACTCTGCGGTCTCGGAAAACGAGTAACGATCCAACAGCGATGAAACGAACATTTTTCAAATGAATTCCGGATAGAGAAAAAAAAAGTGGGGGGAGGGGAAAATCACTGAAAGAAAAGCGTACAAATTGAATCCGGTCGAAGGGAGTTACGGAAAACTCAGGGAGGGAGATTAGTGAAAACATTTGCCCCATTGTTCCGGCAAGGGGCCTTGCCGTATAATCGCGAGCTTTCCGGTCCAGCGGAAAAAGGAGGGTGGAAAGGAAAAAGGGAGCCGGGAAGAAAGGCGACGGAGTCTCGGCACCCAGCTGTGATAAAATTACTTCGGACGCGATTAATGCGCCCCACAAAGGCACCAATGTCCCTTTCCCCCCCCCCCTCTTATGTTGCGAGCTAAACAGTTGGAGCCCCCGTTCGCGCTCCTGCCGGTAAATAAACGAACTCTGCGCGATGGGGTTTATTGCCTTCGTTGATCACAAACTGAGTAGCAACGACGAAGAGGGCCAGAGCGAAAATAATCAACCAAATTAAAAGAAAGTACGCGGGCACTCTCTCTTGTATACTGAAAAGATTCCATGGATTAAAATCGTTTTGGTATCACAAGCAACAGTTTTTGTCCTGTTGCTGCTGTGGTGCTACAGTTTATTTTTTACCCCAAAAAATAGAAGAGGAACTTCCCGAGCTTGAAATAATACCGATTCGTTTGACTTGGAGTCGAAGGTTCCCCCTTCGTCCAGTGAATTTCGCTCGAGGGCTCTCCAAGTTTCGCCGAGCGTGACAACTTTGTTCCTATGTTCAGCAGTTTGCAAACACGGAGTGATTGCCTTGGCCCTAGGACCGTTGGTACAAGCCCTCGCCGAGTGTACACTACAACGTTTGATCGACACACACACACATACACAAAACGCCGGTCTTATGGTCATTTTTCAGTAAAAAAACACACTCGTCATGAATTTTTCACTCTCCGTTTCTCCGGAGAGTAATATCTCCCATAGATCTCGGGGGAGTCGCGTGTCCGCAGCGACCACCCTTCCCCGTAAGACGTACAGCTGCATCCGCCCTAATCGCCCCTAATTGCATCTCCTTGCTCTTCCTCCGCGTTTATACGACGCTCCATCGCTCGAGGCTCCCCCCCCCCTCAACTACCGTGGTAGGACTGCGAGTATACCTCTTTTTTATTTCCATTTGCTCCGTCGGGGTGGACACACGTATTCCATTCTCATACGGGGAAAAAGGCATCATAGATCGAGGTTAATGGCCCGGCTGCGCTGGGAAATCGGCCACCGAGCGCACCGACACGTGCTCGCGAAGAGAATGGATAGAGAGACATCCAGCTTGGGATGGGCACGGAGCTACTGCATTCGTCGCACGTACCTAAACAGCCGGCACACGCACTTGGATTTCACGGGAGAATTTAGTCACTGCCTTTCTGTTTCTCGGGCGTGATGCTCCTGCCCCCCCTTATTTCGTTGGCGTTAAACTTGGACGGTGTACAATCGTGCCTCTGGTCAACGGAAAAGTAAAAGAAACAAAAAACCACGCAGCAGTCCGTGGAAAATCCGTCGATGGCACTGTACACGCGAGTGCGTTTGCTATTTCATTTAATTTTGAGTTTCAGACGTACCACCCCAATAACTCCCAATGACGATGTAAAAAAGCAAAAATACCGAAACCTGCCGAAGTGAGGGCAAATATGAGTTAACGTCGGCTCGTCACGCTGACCCGTAATTGTTCTACTCGACCTCTCATACATTCAGCCGACCCATAGAGCCACCAGACCGTGAGCAATACTGTCGAGAAGAGCTGCTGGTGTAACTTGATTCGTAAGCCCCACAGCCGTAAGGAGACGTAAATCTCCGAGGCACGTGAGTTTATATACGTCGGGTCGCAAAACACCGTGGGGGAAAAAGTTTTCTTTATTTCGTTCCCACACGAACACGCTTGGCGTGAAAAATTCAAGCGCCCGTGCGTTTCCTCAAGTTGTAAATGAAGCCATAAAAAAAAAAGTGCGAGCGCCCTTTCCAAGCTCGGTGCTCCATCAACAACCCCCTCGTCAATATGCACGGGTGCGTACGTACACACAAGTACGTTATACACCAAAGGTAACTGCCTCGCGAGCCGTGGTTTTCAAAGTAACACGCGCGTCCGTCCGTACACGCGTTTACAGCCTCGCAGTCGTATAACTCGCGCTCGCCCGGCTCGTTCGTCCTTTTCTTTTTGGCTTTTACTGCCCATTCGGCATCCATTCGCACCCCAGAAGATGCTCTACTGCAACTCGGTGGGGAAAAAGTTTACGATTAATTCTCACTCTTCGATCCGTGCCTTCGTGTATTTTTCCAGGAAAACCCGTACTCGGGAATCCAAAGCAACAATATGCCACGGTAGCAGTGTAGCGACGCGCCCAGTTGAATTTCGGGTCGACGGTTAATTAACGCGCGCCTCGCTAATTAATATCGACACGGTCGTCCAGTTCATTATCAAGCCGTGAAATGAGAAACGATGCTTAATTTGAAAGCCACCCTTTACGGATAATTTGATTAAATCAGTCGAAATTTCGTAGGAGCAAAAAAGAGGCCGGCCTGCCTAAAGTCACATCGGCAGAGATCTTTTTTCGATGAAAAAAAAAAAAATTCCGGAAGGAGACGAAAGCTCGGTTGGCTCAAGATTTTGCATATAGTCCAAAGTGCTCCTCTTTCCGCGTCCGAGGTGGGGA